GGGGGGGTGGGGGGGGGGGGGAGGAGGAATTGTGGGTCGAGGGACTCACTCTGTAATGGCAATTACCGAGAGAGTAATCAATGGACCTTCGTTCGGACCGCAGCGATAATTTTAGGGGTGCTTCGAAAGCTCGCGTATCAACTCGCCTACCGTATTTTCAACCCCTTGCGCAATTTTAATTGACTTAATTTCCCAGCCGCTTCCTCCTTTCTTCCTCCGCCTCACTTTCATTATACCCATCTATACCTGTCGACTCTTTACTTTTATCCTTTTTCGGGCTTTACCTTCACACTTCTTTTTTCATGGGATTTTACGATTTTACCACCCTTTGCCTTTTTTTTTCGGTGAAAACTTGTATTTACGGTGTCAAAAAGCGTTTTTGATGTATTCAGAAAAAAAGCACCATGAAATATCCTTGTTATCCGGTGGGTTTTGATCGTTGGGTTACTTAATGTTTGGAAACGAGGTGGTGGGAGGGGAATTTTGAAATTTGATAATGCGTCGCCATTTTTTTTTTTGGAAAATTTGCTTTACGTATACAACGTTGGAGAATGACATTTTGTCAGGATTGCCGAGCGTGCAGAGATAGCGGAACTTAGGTATTCAGGAAAGTGGCGAAATCAAATCTTGCAGATTCTTCTTATTTCCTTTTGTCATGTATTTCTCTACTTTCCATTATTATTCGAGTAGCCTTCCTTCTCTAACGTTTCTCCGCGATGCCGCTGCTTCTATATTTATTCGGAAGCGCGGTCGGGACACCGACTTTTTTCCTTTTCTCGTATTACTATTATATACAGGTATACCTGCATTCGTACTTGTTTTTGCCTCACTTGTTTACTCCTTCAGTCGAAATTTCACGGTATCCTACATTTACGTCCTGATATCAACTCCAACCGATATTAAGCTCACTCAGCTCCGTTCGGCATCAGGCAATTTTATCAACCCCTTAGCCATATCAGAGTTTCAGGAGGGTGGATATAATAGCTATAGCACAATAGGGGGTACTACCACACCCCTTTAATATTCGAGGAATACTAGTGCTGGTACTATTACTAGTAGCACGGTACTGTTGTTTACTACTACCACCATCACTGTTACTATTACTAGTAGTATTGGGTAGTAAACCCAGTATGGAAATATGCGTGATCTGTGTTCAGGACTTTGATTAATTGCTATTGAGAGAATTTTGCGAAAATAATACTTGATACGTCTTTAGTAGGGGGGC